TCCAAAGAAGGCACCTGGACCCCTTGTAGTGGCAGGGCAGACCCACTATGAAGTGAAACGTATTCTTGATTCCAGAATCTTTAGAGGGAAATTACAGTATTTAGTACAATGGAAGGGATACCCATTGTCTGAAGCCACCTGGGTGAAATCTAGTGAAGTGAACGCTGACAGATTGATCGAAAGGTTTCATGTGAAACACCCCAGCAAACCGAAAGATAACCCTTAACATATGCTTTTGTTTACCTACAGGATCTGTCCTTCTTGTAAGGGGGGCCGGATGTCAATGCTGCAAATACTGTATATTCTTGCTTTGACAATATGCAAAACTGTCTGGCATTTATTGGGTTAATACTTAGCTTAGACCGGGCGGGGGAAAAAGCCCGGGAAAGAAAGAGGAAGTAAACGTTTGACCTTCTCACTAATTGGATAATGTGACCTGTGACTGCATGAGAAGGGAGGGGTTGAGCAAGGAAAGCTTGATGCCAGCGACAGGAAGTTCAGATTCTGGCATCAACCAGTCCATCATGGTGACCGGCAAAACTGTAGCTCTGCAATAAAGATTTTAGGAAACATTCCTGAAAGTTCTTTGAAGTGCTTCATTAGTCGGAACATGTGACACTTGTATTATTTAAAAAGCTGAAATTCATCCAATTCTCCCCCGTCATCCTAATTTGTCTGCTTAATAAACTTCAATTAATTTTCCATATTTAAAATACTTCTTTGATCACCCAACCGGCTAATAGATGCTAGATTCCAAAGTGTGGTTTCTAGCATAAATTTTCAAAGCTTGCTTAACATCGTTTTGTAAATTCCTGCAATTAAATTCTTGCATTTCTTTCTTTCTTTCTTTCTTTCTTTCTTTCTTTCTTTCTTTCTTTCTTTCTTTTTTGGTCTAGGATGTATAGTCCTAAGTCATATAAAACCTTTATACTTGGCCCAATCCTCACATCTACCACACAGTGGTGGTCACATATATCTTCCTTCTGTCTTTAGTTCAGAAAGCAATGCTTTAAGATCTGACTGTGCTGAGTCTATATATCTCAACAGTGTAGAAGTGAAGGAGTTAAGGCATAAATCAGTGAAGTTTCATGTTTTTAAAGAGATGTATAAACTGACTCTGGTATCATACTTTGGATAAGATAAAAAGCAAAAGAGAAAGGCTTCTACCCTTTTTTAAAAATCACACCTGATTTGATACCTATTTTAAAAAAAGAAGCAAACCTAGATGAATGGCAGAAAGGTATCAATAAATTTATCTGGGCAGGGAAAAAACCAAGAGTAAAACTTAAAATTATACAAGATATACGAGAGAGAGGTGGACTCAAGGTACTGAATTTGAAATTGTATTATGATGCTGTGGTTTTAACATTAATTGGTGATTGGGTCAATTTAACAAATGTAGATATACTCCTTTTGGAGGGGTGGGATTTATTATATGGATGGCATGCCTACTTAATTTATAATAAAAAAGTTGATAGGGTTTTTAAGTATCATATTTTAAGAACTTCTTTACTTCGGGTTTGGAAGAAATATTATAGAATTGATTCAAGAATTCCATTATGGGCTATTCCATGGCATGCAATAGAAGGAATACAGAAAGGAGTTAAGATGGATAGTATTTCTTATACACAATTACTTAAGTGGGATGGTAAAAATTGGCAATTAAAATCCATAGATGAATTAGCACAAGAAAATATTAACTATTCATGGTTTCAGTACAGACAATTATTGGAAAGGTGGAAGATAGATTATAAAGTGGGTTTGCTTAGAGAGGATGAGAATTTGCTAAAACAAATTAGAGATCAAAGCCGAACCCACATAAAAAGAATTTATGGTGTATTAGTGGAATTGGATTCAGAAGCAGAATTAATTAAAGATTGCATGGTTAAATGGGCTGAAAATTTTGATGAACTGATTTTATTAGATACATGGGAGATTATTTGGGTGAGGAATGTCAAATTTACACAAGCGCAAAACTTACGGGAAAATTTTTATAAAATGTTTTATAGATGGCACCTTGATCCACAAAAAATGTCTCGTATGTATTCAAATTTGCAGCCTAAATGTTGGAGATGTGGTTGCTTGGGTGCAACGTATTATCATATCTGGTGGTCATGTAAAAGCATAAAAGCCTTTTGGATTAAGATATGGTGGAATATTCAAAGAATTTTCAAAAGAAGGATAAAATTCACCCCACAACTGTTTTTGCTGGGTATTGTTTCTGATTGTAATGACAAAGAGATTATTTTAATGTTAAATTTAATTACAGCGGCAAGGTTGTTAATAGGGCAATATTGGAAGAAGGAATCTTTGCCTACTTTGCAGGAATGATTTTTTAAAGTTTCTTATTTAGCTGAAATGGCAAAAATTTCGGCTTACTTGAAAGATCAATCGCAAGAGAAGTATCTCTTGGTGTGGAAAAGATGGATAAATTTTATACAATATAAGTATGATGTAAGAAAATATCATTTAGCTTTTAAATAATTTATATTTAAAGTTTAAGATATTATTTAGAAGTGTAGAATAGTTTTGTTTTTGTTTTTTTCTTTATTATTATTATTATTATTTTATTTATTTATTTTCTTCTTTTTCTCTTTCTGTTTTTTATATATAATGGAGTTAAAGTATTTAATAATTTGTTTACTGAATGTAATTATACTTGTTTGAGGTTTATTTGGGTTTAAAAGTTTTTTCTTATAAGTTATAGTTAACCCTGTATTCAGCTCTGGGAAGAATGGAGGAGGGTTTTGGGGTGGGTTGGGAGAGATCGGGGAAGGGGTTTTTATTGTAAAATTGTAAAAAATTATAATAATAATAAAAAAATCACACCTGATTTATTGTCCATAATTTGATTTTGATATTGTAAAGATTGAGGTTGGCATCTCCAACATTGCTTCTTCACCACTGAAGGGTTGTTCCCCTGTAGTTTATTTGATAAATAAACCATTTGATCTAACAATTAACTGGGGTATAATAAAACTAAGGTAAATCACCATGATGCAAAAGAGATGCTGAGGCCCTAGAAAGAGTGCAGAGAAGATGATAAAGATCTGTAGGCTAAATCGTATGATGGTTAAAGGAACTATGTATGTTTAGTCTAAGGAAGAGAAGGCTCAGGGAGACATGATAGCTATCTTCTAATACTTGAAGGGAAAAGGGCATCCATTGATTCTCCGTAGTGCCTGACTGCAGGACAAGAAGCACTGGGTGGAAGCTCATAAGAGGGAGATTCAACCTGGGATTTCCTGACAGTAAGAATGAAAAGATAGCAACAGACAGCAAATGCCACCTCTGAAAAAGAAGCTGAAGAAACAGTGGACAATCTATTTAACTGCTGCAAGAAGATCACACAGACTGATTACGAACAATGGTATAACAGAGTAGCAACAATGGTGTATTGGAATATATGGAAGAAATACCACTTGCCTGAAGCAAGAACTGTTGTGATTAAAAAATATAGAGAGGAAGTAATGGAAAATGGAAAAGCCAAAATTTTCTGAAACTTTAAATTCAAACAGACAAAGATCTGCCAGAAAACCTCTCAGATTTAGTAACTGTTGATAAGAAAGAGAAACAGTTTAGATAATGGCCATTGCAATACTTTAAGACAGCAGAATAGAACAAAAAAAAAATGGAGAAAGATTACAAAGTACAACGAACTTGTAAATAGAAGTAGAATAGCTGTGGCAAAGGAAAGCCAAGATATACCAATAGTATAGGTCACAGGTCGGCAACCTGCGGCTCCGGAGCCGCATGCGGCTCGTTGGGCCTTCCCCTGTGGCTCCCAGCCTCCTCTGCCGTTGCAGAGAGAGACAGAGACAGAGAGAGGCAATTGCGCTTCCCTGCTTCTCTCTCTCTCTCTCTCTCTCTCTCTCTCTCTCTCTCTCTCTCTCTGTGTGTGTGTGTGTGTTGTGTGTGTGTGTGTGTGTGTGTGTGTATGTGTAAAAGAGAGTGCACTCACATTGTTCTCCGAGGAGCTGAAAAGCTTTCTGGGCGGAGCTCCTTCCTTTGCTGCTCTCTGCAGGAAGCAGGAAGGGCAGGAGAGAGCTAGCTAGCTCAGCTAGGCTGACTCAGGAATTCTGGGAGTTGAAGTCCATGAGTCATAAAAGAGCCGAGGTTGCCTACCCCTGAGATTGTTGGAGAACAACTTGAAGCTTGCCAGGTGAGCAGCAGATGGGGGGGGGAGAAAGAGAGAGAGAGAGAAAGAGAGAGAGGGAGGGGGAGAGAGAGAGGAAAGAGAGAGAAAGAAAGAGAGTGGGGGAAGAGGAGTGGCAGACCAAGGGCAGAGAGGGAGGGAGGGAGAGAGACAGAGAGAGAGAGAGACCCTTTTGACATCTAAATTGAAGATAACACTGCATATATCCTTTTTTTACCTGTGTGTGTATGTAATTTTATTCTCTTAAAGCATTCTCTCGGTGATCATTGTTTTAATAGTATGGATATTTCCAAGAGTCATATTTTTACTTTTATTTTTAATGTGTGTGTGTGTGTGTGTATACACACACACACATACACAAACACTCTCTCTCTCTCTCTCTCTCTCTCTCTCACACACACACACACACACACACACACACCTATAATAAAGATAAAAAAGGATATATGCAGTGTTATCTTCATTTTAGATATCAAAAGGGTTTTGCGGCTCCCGGTGTTTTGTTTTTGGTGGGAAACGGGTTCAAGTGGCTCTTTGAGTGTTTTGGGTTGCCTACCCCTGGTATAGGTGCTTTGGATGCAATTCCAAAATATCTGCAGCATCACTTTCACATCATCATCATTGACAGAATCACCATTAGTCAATTGCAAAAGGAAGGTTTACTTGGAACAGTTTACATCCACTAACAATAATATCTGCCAGACCTTGGGAACAATTTGATAGATGGACAAAAATGCCAAATCCAGTCTAAACATCTGGCTGAGTGACCAAACATAATAATTTGTTGATCTATATGGATCAAACACAATTTCTCCAAACAAATTTTTGACACCTGTACACTGAGTCAATGGGTCATACAGACATTTTAATCAAATGGTGGATTTATACATTGATCCCATTCCAAGATTCTGTTGTTACAGCACTCTAAATTTACCCTTTCTGTGGAGCTGATTTCTAGTCTAAGAAAGCAAATTATAAATTTCAAACTATTTTAAACATTGCACTTAGGATGTACATATGATATGAATTATGAGAGGAAAATTCATTAATCTATAATAAAATATTAAAAGATTAGGCATCTTTCTTGTTTTTATCGAATCGCTCCAATAAACCTCTTAATATATTTCCAGGTAGTTTCTGATGTCTGTCACGGAGATTTTCAATTGCAATCTTTGTCTGTTAAATACAGAAGAAGAAGATGGCATAAAGTCAATATCATTTTTAAAAATACATTCACAGATTATCTCTCAGAAATGATCTTTCTTATCTTTTCACAAGAATTGACCTTCCTGTAATTTAATTTTATTGCTTCGTGTCCTATATTATTGGACCATAAGAATTAGTATGGCATCCTTTAAAACTTAGTCTGATATTTCCTCTGTCTTTGGTCAAGGATAAACATAGTTAATAGAATTTAAGATGCCAGTTTATTGATCATCCTCACTGTTCTTCTCAAATCCATTCCAATTGGTCTGGCATATTCTTAAATTGTGGTGTCCAATAAAACAGACAGGATCTGGAAAATTAGAACTGAATGAAATAGTAGCTTCCATAACTTGAAATTTTATTTGTCTTTTTTGCAGCCTTGACAGAGGGCTTCATCATGTAGTCCACCACAATGACATTTTCCACCCCTACAGTATTAGACATATATTTCTAAGTATACTCATTTCTTCCCAGAACTGTGGATCTAAATTCAGAATAACTGAGTAGGTGAGATTTTTCTGGATTAAATTGGCATGATTTTCTATAGCTTCTTGTTGCACCATATATGTTAACTGACAGTACAGAGTAAAAATATGTATATGTTACACTGTCCTGAAAGCTGCAGAAACCATCTTTTTTTGTGAAACAGTGGACCTAGGTTGTCTTTGTAATCATTTTTTTATTTTGTTGAATTGTGTCTGGTTGTCAGAAATTGCTTGGAACAGTCCCTGCAGTTTTCTTGGCAAGGTTTTTCAGAAACAATTTGGCATTATGTCCTTCCTAGGGCTGAGAGAAAATGACTGGCCCAAGGTCAACCAGCTGGCTTTGTGCCTAAGATAGGACTATAACTCACGATCTCTTGTTTCTAGCCTGATGGCTTAACCCAGTGTTTCCCAAACTTGACAATTTTAAGGCATGTGGACTTCAACTCCCAGAATTCCACAGCCAGCAATGCTGGCTGTGGAATTCTGGGAGTTGAAGTCCACATGCCTTAAAATTGTCAAGTTTGGGAAACACTGGCTTAACCATTGTGCCTCAAACCAACTGCAGTTTTCTCACACACCCTTTCTTTTACCATCCACTTTTCTTTCTTTTTCTTCCTCTCTGACCCTTCCCTAAGCTATTACAGTAGCTATGGAGACAAATAATATTCCTCTCTCAGGAATGTCCTATGTGTTGAAGATTGTGATTCACAAAAACATTTGCTGTAATATATTTTACTGTCTTAAAGTCTCTTCAAGTGTTTCTGTTAAATTTGTGCCAAAGGTATTTTGAATGTCTTTTGTCTTTGAAGGTATTAATATAATTGTACTTCAATTAGGCACCTTCCTATACAATTGTTTGTCAACTGCACCTTGGTTAAGCATTTTTTTTTTTTTGCCTTCTAAGCCTGAGACCAAATCCTTCTAATACCCTGTTCAACAACTACTTCCCAAGTCATGAAGAAACCCTCAGAGTGTTTCTAAAGGAAGGATTTAATTCCAGGGTGGGTTTACCTAATCCAGCCCACTAGTTTGAGAATATAATGGGCTACTTTGTCAAATCAACCATAAAATAGGTTACTGTTAATCTGGCAAGACTTCTTAAGAAATCCACACTTTGCCACCCCATTATGTCCAAACTGCTTAGAGAGTTAAAACTTTATTATCTGCTTTAGCCTCTTTCCACATATTCATCTCAAAATGACCATTTCATATCATCATTTTGCTTCTTTTTTCAAGTACTGATAGTATTTTCCCTTATCCAATCAACTCAAACTTTGCTTTTTTTCTCAGCAAACATAACTATCAGAATATCTGTATTTAGTGGATATTATGCTGAAGAAATGTAAATATATTTAGGGCAGATAAACCAGAGAGAGAACCAAATAGCAAAAGAAGGATTGTCATTTTGGGATTTGATGTCACACATCTACAGTAAAGGGAAGGAATTGGCAGAATGATGGCCAAAGTTCAGAATCTGTGAATACTTCTGACGTGATGTTTGGTCATGAGGACAGGAGAAACATATGGATGAGCTGGAGATATTAATGAAAATTACTTTTCTTTTCTCCCAAAGATGCTTTTTCATGAGACACTAGACTTTCTTGTTTTTCTTTGAAGATGTTTCGATTCTCATCAAAGAAGCTTCTTCAGCTCTGATATAACTATAACCTGGATTACTGAGAATATCCATAGATACTTTCCTTTTCTATTAAAGCAATTTTTAAAAGTACAATTTTTGTATGGTATTATTCAAATTCTTACTTTCAACTAGTCTTTTTCTAATTTCACAATAATCAATAATAATTTCATTGAAAAAGGGAATTTGGATAAACATTGTTTTAAATATATAACATAACAATCATCTCTGACTATATCTCAAAACAAAAATGTTCTGCAGAAAAAAAAACAATAGACAATATTTAAGAGACTGTTTTGGTGAAAAGTTTGCTTACTTTTTCAGCCAGTTCCTTAGCAGTTAGGTTTGGGTCATATGGGATGGGTTCTCCAATGTAGGTGCGGAGTTTGACGGGAAACCCGCCATATATTGGGAGGACAAGATATCGAAAGTGTTCATACAGCCATTTTGAAAGCCCTATAGAGGAAATAAAACAAAGTGGAAGATAAAATTATTCATTCATAAAGATGTGAACATCTCTATTTTTTAAATAATGTGATGTTGCATCTTAACACTGGAGATGTGAACTATGATGTTAACTTTTGCACCCACTTCAAAGTTGTAGAATGTGACCCTGAGACCAGAATATTTATCTGTGATACTGAAAGGGGAGAAAAAAACACAATAAAATAATATTGAAACCCAAAGTATCAACTGAGTGGGGGAAACATTTTCTTGGCGGTGGTCAAGAGCCACTCAAATGATGGATGAATCTGTGATGCCAAGGTAGCAAGTAAAGCACTACAGAAAATTGTGACTGCTTTTATTTCACAGGCTTTGCTGCTGTCATTTATTTTATTTCCTTCCATCTTTCCCATCATTACAGACTTTTTCAGAGAAATAGATCTTTTATAAGGTGTCCTAAGTAGGATAATTTGAGCCCAGCCTTTTGTACCTTGAATGAGAATTCTGGGTTGATTTGTTTCATTATTCATTTGCTTGATGATTCATGTGTTTGATTCATGTTATTTTTTTTCTTTTTGCTATCTACAATATTTTCAGGAGTGTTCTTCAACACCAAAGTCCAAAAGTGTCAATACTCTTTCTATCGTGTTCCTTCAAAGTCAAAAAGTTAGAAACTGACTGATATTTTTCTTAGATATTGCCAGTATCTAGGTAATTAATATGGAGTTACCCAGGTAAACTTTCCCTTCTACTCGTTAAAAATAGAAACAGCATTTACTGTTCTGTAGTCCTCTAGTGCTACTTTGTCCACTATGATTTCACAGAAAGGTCATCCTTAAATTCTTTGCATTGATTCTGCTTAGATCCATTGGACACAAAATAGAAATAAAGCTCTGCCCACTTCCTGTCACCTATTATTCTCTGAGAAGTAGGCCCACCCATTCCTTCCTGATGTAGAACTGGTTTCAAGCAGACGCTAGGCAGAAGTGTGAATTACTTGGGGACAGTGTAGAAGGGGAAAAAACTGTGTCTTTATCTTTCAATTAACTTACTAGCTATCTGGAAATGTGAAAAATAGAAATGGAAAAATAATGTTTTGTTGCTAATATGGAAGAAACATTAATTGCCAGGCTATTTAGTCTCTAAGGCAGTGGTGACGAACTTATGGCATGCGTGCTAGAGGCAGCATTCAGAGCCCTCTCTGTGGGCACAAATGCCATCGCCCCACCCAGCCCCACCTCCCCCCATGGCCCCCTCCTTACCAGCAGCACCCCTGGAGAAGAGTCACCCCTGAGCGTGGCCCACATAGAGCAGCGCAGCCAAGGACATGGCAGCCGGGCAGTGGGGACAAGACTCCACCCTCATGCACTGTCATGTGCAGATGATGCTGCAGGGTGTGGGCAGATGGCGTGACTACCATGGTGCTGCTGGGCCACTTGGGCGATCTACTGCAGAGGACGTTGAGGCAGTGGGTGGTCCTGCAGGTGGGCAGGGGGGCAGGTGGAGGGTGGAGCAGAGCAGAATGGAGCAGAGCAGAATGGGCAGGGCGGAGCAGAGCAGGCAGGGCGGAGCAGGGACAGGGGCAGAGGCAGTTTTCAGGCACTTGATCTCTAAAAGGTTCACCATCACTGCTCTAATGGAAGAAACAATCTTTCTTTCTCTTTAGACCATGAAGTTATTTTGCTCATATGGATAACTAAGCTCAACACCTTCACTTGATTCAGCTTTGAGCTACTTCATCTCTCAACTGACTCACAGGCATTTATATATACACACATACACACAAATACACATACACAAAGAGAGGGAGGAAATATAACGATTGAGGGTTAGATAATTAATTATATAGGAAGGAATATGAGAATGAAACTCACTTGTGTTTCCAACTGTCCTGTATGCTTCACGAAGGTTTTGTGTAAACATAGGGATGATTGGCTAAAAAAAGAAATACAGAAAAAAAAAACCCAAAGAATAAAAACTGATATGAGAAAGCATTTTGATTTAGATTGAAACTATTAAGGAAAACCAGTTTTTAAGGCAAATTGGATTTGGTTGTTTTTTTCATATTCTTCTAGACTAAACGCCAATGTTATACATTAATAGAGTAGGTATTATTGTATGTTGAAACATGCACAACTTGTTGATAAGATTTCTATTAGAGAATATTTACTAACAGTGCTATCTTATAAACTGTTTGTCTTCAAATGGCCCACTCCATTGTGGTTTGTATGTTCTGATGAGTTCCACAAATAGAAATTGTATATATTTATTTAGATGTGTAAGCTGACAAATAAAAAGATAAGTGCATGTAGGTAGTCCTTGATTTATGACTGTAATGGAACCCAAAATTACAGTTATAAGTGGTTACAATTGTAAATTAGGCACCCAGAAATAAATTTCTGGCTTTTTTCATGCAGCCCTTGGAGATTCTCAGTCAAAGAGTCAAAAAGCTTCTTGAATGAGAAACGAAACATCTTCAAGGAAAAACAAAGAATGTCCAGTTGCCTCTTGAAAACACACCTTTCAGACTTTCATGGCAGTTATTAAACAAGCACTGTGGTTGTTAAGCAAATGCTGTAGTCGTTAAGGAATTATTGCTCAAAACTAGCAAAAAAAATGTCAGAAAACAGCAAAAAAAACCTTTGCAAATCAGAGTCATGTGACTGTGGAATGCCTGCCCAACAGGCCCTCATGTGAACTCAGGGGAGAACTGAGATCATTTACATCAGCATGTATGGTTTATGGCCTATGGCTGTCGTAACTTTGAACAGTCATAAAATGACTACTTGTTACACAAGAACTATCTGTAGCATTGAAATAGTGTAAAACAATGAAAGTGTCATAAACAAATACAGAGCACTGGAGACAAAAAATACCAATCAATCATTTTTCACCTTTAGGTTCACAAATTACCTTGAACAATGTTTGAAAAGCCAGGTTTTTACAGCTTTTCTAAAGGAAGGTGAGATTGGGCCAAACAAACCTCCAACAGGATGGTATTCCAGGTAGCAAAGAGAGAATGTGGCTCTGAGATCCCACAAGGCAGTACTAGGTAATCGCTTCTTTGCTCTCTTTGGACAAGTAGAAATAATTGCAGAAAAGCAATTTAAAAAAAAACAGATCCAGACCATCTAGGGCAGGGGTGTCAAACTGCCAGCCCACGGGCCAGTTGCACCATACGAAAACTGCACCCACCCCAGCTCCGGCAATGCAAAAAAAGTCACAATACATTGCAACACGCCACGTGACATGGCGAGTTTGACACCAGCTGGCTCAGGAATTCTGGGAGTTGAAGTCCATGAGTCATAAAAGAGCCAAGATTGCCTACCCCTGATCTAGGACTTTACAGGGGACAAGAAGCAGCATGGTTTGCACTCAGAAGGCCATGTGCAGCTCCTAGAGCAGAGGAGTTAAAGCTTCTGCTTGTTGAGCCACATTCTAGACCATCTTTAGACTCCAAGTCATTATCATAGGTGGCCCCATCTTAGAGAATACTCCACCTAGTAGTAAAGTGCATTCATAGATCAGGTCTTTGTATGTGATCCTTGACAGGACCACTTACCACTTTGCTTTTTAAAGCTACTTCAGCAAATCCTGTACGGGTGCTCCACTCAAGACTGTAATTTTCATCACTAAAATTCTGTTCTCTCAATCCACCAGGTGCTATTCCTAGCAAGTAGCCTCTCTTCAGAATGTCAACACAGAATGCTTTCTTGCCTTCAATGCAACCTACTATATCAAGACATGGTTTTATACCTGTAAAAAAATTGGAGGAAATAAAAGATTGTATATGAATATAATTTATAGCAAGTATATTATCCAAATGCCATCATTCCAGTGATATTGTCCTATCACAGCTTCATAACAGGACAGCCCTCAATTCTATTTCACCAGGCTGAAATAGAATTGAGGCTAGATAAAGGGTGAGATAAAGTACAACAATGTCTGTCCTTCTTTCAACTGGGACAACTTAGCATGAATGTTGGAGTTATTTTCACTGGAATTCATTGTTAATGCCTCCTTTCCCCACTTTCACTCAGGGATTTAGGAGCAATACTCCTTACATTTTCTGTTCAATGGAAACCAAACCAAACAAAGTGCAAGTTTCAGCTCAGTAATAGGTACTTTTGAGATAAGTTATGAGATTAGAATCAGGAAAAAAACAGGGACTAAAAATATCTGGTTTTAGTCATTTAGCGACTATATAGTACAGTAATTGTTTGCAGTTATGATGATGATGAAAGAGTAACTTTACAACCAATCCTCACTTTATGACCTTCACAGGTCTATAAAGCAAATGAAAGTTGAAGAACTATCATAAGCATAATCACAGTTTCACTTACTGACTGCTTTGGCAGTACATAAGGGTACAACTGAATTGCCAGTCTCACAAAACAAGGACTACCTGTAGTTTATGACTCAAAACAAGGAGGATTGGATTGAAGGAGTAATTGTAGGAGAGGACCAGGCAGAGCTAAAGGGAGGAGGCCAACACATTGTCAGTCATGAGTCTCGCAAGAGATCTAAGTCCAGCCCACCTTGAATTCCTTTCTTAATTCCCATTAATTTACCTTGGCTGTGAATATTTCAGTTTCTTGTAGAGAGCGTAAGCTTACAATAAATCTTAATACTCATTTGAACTGCCTGAATCTCCTGATTTCCCAGGGCTTGACAGTAATTATAAAGAGGAAGAGAAGGTAGTCTCATCTAAAAGGGAGGTTGAGCATCAGGGGAAATGAGCATGAAGGGGACCAGGCAAGGCTTTTAGTACCTTTCAGATAAAACCAAAATGCAATCATCATCTAATGGTCTACCTACTGTCTCTTGCTATCATTTATTATGAGCAATTGTCTTGGCATCTCTCAGTGGGGGTGATTGTTAATGCAGTCTGGAGAGGAATGGGTATGATATACATTCCTTGACTATGTTATCACATAGATGTGATTTCAAGGGTTGGTAGATTTGGACAGAGGGTGCTATAAAGGTTTATCACTTTCTTATTGTATTTAATTCTCCTGTACCATCAATGCAGAAAGCTCTGTTACTTTTTCAGAATACCTATATTATTGTTTCCAAATGTCTAGCAATAACTAATATGACTTCAGCCAGTTTAGAGGAATATTGAAATCTTCTTTGTACACACTTTTCTTGACATTCTTGAGTGTGTTTTGAGTCAGTGTTGACTTCTGGCAACTTCCTGGACAAATCTCAGCATTTCTGTTAGCAAGATTTCAGAAGTGGCTTGTCAACATCTGTTTCCTATGGCTCAGATGGAGTGACTGGCTCAAGATCATTCTTCTGGTTTTGTGCCAAAGATGGAATTAGAACTCATATCTTTCAGTTTCTAGCCTGGTAACTTAAGCCCTACACCAAACTGTTCTCCTGGCATATGGTCAAACAAAGTCAAATTCTTTTTGGAGGACAACAGATTTTCTCTGAGACTTATCCTCTTTTTCTCTATTCTATTCATGGTCTGGTGAATATAATTTCTGTAACTTCTGCATCTTCCTTTCCATTTACACTGGTACCTCATTACTCAACTGTTTTGAAAGTCATCAAATTTGGTACACAACACATTTTGACATGAAAATTTTGTCCCAGTATTTGTCATTTGTTTGGTACTTGACCCCAAGTTAGAAATTGTCAATGTTGTTTGCCTCATGACTATTACATTATTCCTTATGGGAAAAATTTGTTTGGTACTCATTGTTTTTGGTACTCATTGCATCTCCCAGAACCAATTAATGATGAGTACCAAGGTACCACTGAATATAAATATATTTAAACCAGAAGTTGAAATCAAACTTTCTCTTTCTGTGACAGAATCAGAATTTTCTGAAAAAGAAGCATTTATTTCTCTTGCAGCTTTGGGGATGAAGTGAATAAATTATTTTGAAGTGCTTTTTTCTCAGAAAAAAAATATTCTGTCCCTGTGGCCAAGGGCGGGATGACTATTGCCATCCAGTACTTCTTTTAATGGGAAAAAAAAAGATATGACATCTCAGTTTGGCTTTTCCTTTTTGGAAGTAATTTATTTCCCAATGGTGAACCCTTAGTTCATCTAATTTTGTTGGTGAGGACTATAATTTAAATAACAAATCCCCATTTGATCTCCAAAGAAGAAAACTGAAGTCCCAGTCATTGGCAAGCTATTTGGGGGCAGTTGGAGACATAAGTAGCTTGCAAATTACAAATGAGCACAACCTTCCAACCAGGATCTGAATAAGGTTCCTGCAGGAACTGGAAAACAAATTATTTAGATACAAATAGATTTAGATCTCTGGACCATGCCACCCTTGGATAAAGAATATCTTAGCTATTGTCAATCTGGCACTCCAAGAGCTAACCAGATGACTTGCCTAGGTTATAATTGCCTGGCATGCTGAATGCAACTTTCCAGGGTTTAAATGATATATTCCTAAGCAGAAGATAACAAACTAAAGCTACTGGACTATATCTGATTTTCTGGATCATAAGTTGCAAAGTTCTAATAGTCCCTTTAAACATTTTGCATATCTTTAAAGACATGCTGATTGTCAGACACTGGTATCACACCAGAAAAGTGATTTCTTAAAAAGATTTAGAGCAGGGGTGTCAAACTGACAGCCCATGGGCCAGTTTCATCATATTGAAGCTGCGCCCACCCCATAGCCGGCAATGCAAAAGAGTTGTGATATGTTGCGGCATATCACGTGATGTGCTGAGTTTGACACCTGTGATTTATCTATAACAAATGCCTCTTGCAGCAACCATTCACAGCTACAATAGCAATGAAAAAATAATTTTACAACCAGTTCTTACAGGTTTGTAAAGCAAAGGAAAGCTGAAGTAAGATCATAAATGCAGTCACTTAGCTACCACTTTGTTAATAATCAAGTTGCTAGTCCTAGCTGTGGTAACTAAAAGAGAATCACCTATAATTTGAAATATAAAGTTAAAATACCTTACCTGGTAGTAAATAAAAGATACAATGAATCACAGATTGGATTATTCTCCCAGTCTTTTCATAGGTTTTAGCTATAAAGAGGGCATAGTCCACAACTACTGCTCCATGGTAATAAATAATCAGTCCTGGTCCTTGTGGTAGATTCTCCATACCAATGATCTCATAACCTGAAAAAAGTAGACTAATTTTTTGTTTGTAGAGGATTCATGGAGATAAAACAAATTCATTTAGAAAAGAGAAATGCATAATGCAAAACACATAGAGTACTTTTCTTAACCAGATATTTCCCAAATATTTTGTGACATCTACCACCAATTTCAGGCAGCATAACTTAAATCTGGGAATCATGCTCCAAACATATCTGGCAAATTTTAAAAAATGCTATTGTAACTGTGAATTATTGCTGCAAGAGGCAGTTGCTGTAGATAATAACAAATTACTCTAAATCTTTTTTGAAAATCATTTTTTCTAGTGTGAGGCCAGTGTCTGTCAATCATACATAATTTAGGTCAATAGATGGTGAGGGGGAAAAAAGCTACCTGGCAGCCACACCTCTTATGTAAAATGTGAGTATGTATAGAAGCTTATTCTCTGAGGTACTCAGTGCCTCATTATAGAAAGGGTTAGTGCATGGAATCTTGAAGAATGTTTGGGTGTACTCCATCCTCAATCCAATCATTTTTGATAACTATCTCCCAGCATTGGACCTACCTTTAAAAAGAAAATGTTGAAAATGTGATTGTGGGCCAGCTACATAGCACTCTAGATGAAACAGATTCTCTGTACTCCTGACTCAGGGTCAACAGTTAATGTTTGCTTTTGATTAACCCTTGTGTAGAGCTGGAAGGAGATACTATACCCCTCCTAGTCCTTTGATAACTATTGATATCTTCTGGAGTTGGAGATTGAAGGCATTGTTTTGAAGAGAGTCTACTTCTTCCTTCCTTCATGGGCAATTCAGGTCAGTAAGTGGTAAGGGGGAAGAGCCACCTATCAGCCATTCCTCATCAAGTCCCATAGGGTTCAATTCTTCATCTCTACTATTTAACATAAAAAATAATAGCTTTACAGTACTCTAAATTCCTAATCTGAGATTCATTGGTTATTCATCCTTACTTTACTGCTTAATTTGGCTTTTTATTTAACTACAATAATCACTGTGATTATCTTTGTAATCTATTTTTCCATTGTTTAAACTTATATCTGTATTAATATTATTAATTTACTTTATTGAAAAATGTAACAGTTTGTAAGAATCTCTCTTTTACCTCCTCCCACTTGATGAGGTATCTGAATTTTGTTGAGATTTTGATGGAACAAGGAGAATAAAATTAAATCCCAACAAGATGGAGTTACTGTTTTAAATTTCTTGAGGTTCTCTGACTGCTTTGTTGCTGTCTTTTATTGGAGTGTTGGCTGTAGTCCTGAAAATCAAGGTACATGACCTTCTGGACTCATGGCTACTGTTCATAGGTAAAGCTGTAATTAACTGGATCTTTGATACAGCAGCTATAATAATCCTACCTGGAGCAGGAAGATCTCATTATTCTCACAGTACCTTCATCACTGTGAGTAATCTGGAATGCAGTCTGTATGAAAGCCACACAGATGCTTCAGTTGTCAAGAAGACAGCAGCCTGGTTGTCACTTAGTACTCATACTATGAACACATTACACTTTAGGCTCTGTAATTACTTGCCTCTAGCTACTGTACTGGATGCAAAATCAAAATGCAGCTTGTTCCATAAAAAGTGCTATATGGCTTGGCAGTAAAGATTTTGCAAGAAAGTCTTCTCCAATTACATAGGCTCCACAATTTGTATGCCTGTGGGAGAAATTCCTATAATCTCATGAAGTGGAGATTGAGACTTTGAGGTGCAAAGGCCTTGCTTTTCAATGGTAGTACCTATCTTATGGAATAGCGTCTCTTTGGAAAACTGGTTTGCCATATTGTTTCCATTCTTAGAGTTAAGGAGTGTTTTAGAAGTATATTGTGAATGATAGGACACACTTACTTGAATGATTACATGTAGATTGTTATAATTCTTGTGGTTTTATTAGTTGGCATGTATACCCAGAATGTATTAGTAACAACTGTTTTGTTTAATGTTCTCAACTAATGCAACTTGACAACAGTATACTTGATTGCAGTGAGTATAAATTTGATAAAAAGATCAGTGAACAGTATTGTAAAGTATAATTTTGCCCTGCTTCCCTACCAACACACAATACTGTTTTGCCCAGTTTCTCCCAAATAATTTGGCAAATTTGTCTGTTAAAGATAGCAGAGCACAGGTTCTAGTGCAACGCAAAGGAAGCTGGAATTTTAACCTTTCATACAGGTTGAGTTGTTATCTTACACAACCAGGACATTCACTGTAACATCTCCAGGTATTTTTGCTCCTTCAAGTCAATGTTGTCTCCTGGTGATTGCCTGGGCAAATCCCTGCAATTCTGATGGCATTGCCTCCTTCCTAAGACTTAGAGAGGGTGACTGCCCCCAAATCATCCAGTTGGCTTTGTGCCTAGAATTCACAGACTCCCCGGTTTCTAGCCCGGGACCCTATCCACTACATAAACTGGGACTCATGACTACAGTGTACTTATATTATATTACCATTTATGATTATATTTATAAGAGGCACAATTTTGATGCAAAGAGCAGACAGATAATACAAGTTTCACACAGCACACCACTTCGTAGAAATATTGGACAATCTGTGTGCCACATACAAATCGAGACTCTGCCTGGAATAAATTGTTTGCTCTCTTGATTATCTTGTGACTATTTAAATAACTACTTACCATGCCATATCTTTCCATATAAATTCAGCAAATATGTGATGCTTTTCCTTGGTTTGTTCCATAACTCATTGTAAGCGTCTCCTTTTATATTATATTTTTTCTTCCAAATATATAAATAAAATGTGAATGCATAGAAAATTAAAACAATACCTGAAGGTACATAATATATAAGCAGAAAAAGTACTAGTAATAGCAACAGAGGCTGAAGTACAGAGTTCACAAAGTCCTCCAAGCAATCAAAACCAATCCAGTCTTTTATCATGTGAAGAAACCATGTCATAGATTCATACTCAGATGTATTCAACATAGTAGCTTTCCTTTCATTCATGTTAAAGAAATAGAAAAAAAAGAGAGAAAGTCATGATTTATTTTGTGGGAGGGAAATGATGTTATTTATCAGCTTGTATTACAAACACAGACAAATGCATCATTATTTTTTAAATTTAAATTCATCATTTTTAAATCATTTTATAGCACTTAATTTTGTATAGTTTCTATTTAACCCTCTCCTTTCATAAATCCACACACACTTTCATGGGTTCCTTGAATATACAGTATAAGGCTTCCAGTCAATATGCACTGTTGTTTTCTTATAAACCTACCTCGACTAAAGTAAGAAATAAAAATGGGAAAAAATGCTGGAAAATAACAATTACTTTGAAAATCTTTGTGCATTCAGTTTGAACTATATTCAGAATTTTTCTAAATGCTCATTATAAGATTGATAATACATGACTTTTCATAATTAGACATAATGTATTTATTTGACTTTGTCTAAAATTTTAAACAAAACTACTTGGTACCTGAGCCAATGACAATTATTTTGGAATTATAGTTATGTGCTTAACATTATTCTCTTAAATTTATCCATTTACTAAAACTCTTTCTTACTGCAGTCTAATCAGACTCTTTGTGATTTATAATAAAATAAAATGTGTCAAGGAGTAAATAAAGAAACAAAGCATAAAATTCCAAACAAATGGGTTCACAAGCCAAAACCCTGGAGAAACTTTGTCTTCAGCTTGTTTAGGAAGGTATTTGCAGTAGGAGCTGAACTCATCTCAAGCAGCAGGCTGCTTCAGGGGGCCATTGCTGCCCCTGAATAAAATGCCTCCCACATCTGAGGAACAATTAGCTGCTTATCCTGACATGACCACATGCCAAGTGGAGATGCAGTCTCCCAAGTCTCCAAATCAATCATGGAAGCATAGAGGGAGCCTTTAGGAGGCTAGAGGGAGATAGTGTAGGATTGCACACTGATCTATAAATTGCAAAAAAATCTTACTTGCCTCTGACCAAGATGTTCTAGACATCCTTCTACAAGAGCAAATATGGGCAGCCATTAAAAAAAATGCCACATTTTTAACAATAGCTAGGGTTTTCAGAAATTGGTTGGTGTTAAACAACTGGCAAAGACAAATAACTAATTTTATTTGATCTATTGCAAGAAAACTGCTTACCTAAATTAGACACTCATGAATGAAGGTGATATATGTGTCCCAGGATAATGTTGCAGGATCTAATCTGAGTCAACCACTAGAACCAAAGGATTATTTTTTCAAACTTTCAGGCTCGTGCTGAAGTTCATCATCAGGGAAATTCTCTCTCTTCAGAATATGGGCTGTCCTATATGTTGTATTTATATAGTTCCTGGTTGTGTGTAGCTTTTAATTGTTAATTAAAACGTACTGCTGATACTGTAGCAGTGTTTTCACCCTGCCGTATAGTGTTCTGATGCAACTCTTTTTATGAGACAATGGATGGTTACTATTGAAGCTCAGAATGTGTGGATTGTTGGTAGCTTTGCAATATACTGTGGTTTCTAAACTGCCAACTTCCTATCAATAAGTACATCTATTGCCAGTTTTAGATGTTTATCAACAGACAGGAAGATGGCAGCATAGAAATCACGGTATATCACAAGGCTACCAATAGTTCCTGCATTCTGAGCTTCAAAAATAACCATCTATTGTCTTATTAAAAGAATTGCACCAGAACATTATACAGCAGGGTGAGAGAATACTGTAGTACCCAGTTAGCAAAACAACTGGACAGTAGGTACCTATATGAACAATTCAAGCAGAATGGGTATCCACAAGCATTCGTCACAAAATGCCTATGCAATAGGCTGGGGAGAGAAAGGGGAAAAAAAGGTACAAGACCAACTATATGACACATCCTACCATACATTAAAACACATATCAGAAGCAGTAGAACGCAACTTCTAAGATCTGCAAATGGGCTTCGCTCACCGCCCAGAGGCTACCATACAAGGACAAATCATGCATTACAAAAATCATTGGGAGTTGGGAGAAACTTCAAACAAAATCTACTGGATTCCCTGCATGTATTGCCCCTGTGACTATGGGACAGATGGGGAGGAAGCTAACCACTAGATGGCGAGAACATGAGCAAGTGGTTAGACAAGGAGACCCAAACTCATTGGTAGCATCACATTGCAATGAACAAGGACATGCAGTCAATTTCACAGCTACTATGACTGTTGACTGTTGAGACAAAAATAGCCAGAAGAATTATTGAAGCCTGGGAAATGGGGCCCTTATCAGTCAACAGCAGTGCTAATTTATCACCAGCCTATCAGGTACCACAAAGAAACAACAAGTAACAACTTAATAGCCAGCAATCAACACCTCAGTTAACAACTAAAAGCTACACACAATGAAGAACCATATAAAAGCATTGCATAGAATAGCCTAGCACACATATTTTTCAGAGAAGTTCCTTGATGATAGGCTCCAGCATGAGCCTGAACGCTTGGAAAAATAAACCTTTGGTTCCAGTGACCGACTAGATTGGATCCCGCAAAGTGGACACTATTTGGAGATACAATAAAGCATACTTTATTGGAATATTTAGACAATGATCACTGGTCTCCCCACCAGCTGGCAGCAGAAGAGAGAGCCCCGAGTGTAGCCATTTTTTAGATTATATACAGTATATTTTATAAAGATATATATAATTACCCTGTGAACCTTCTTCCAGAATGCTTTGAAAAGCTATAGAGATTGCCTCCCTATTATATTTCACACTTGCTCTAAACTTCCTGATATTACTGATATGTTCTATAAACAACATTGTTTACTTTATGATCTCCTATTACACCATTCCATTTCTCATTAGGAAGACAACTATCGGTTTTATTTATTTATTTTTCTGCTCCAATGCTGCAGATACTAGGTTATACAAATATCTGTTGTCTATTAGATACATAAAAAGTTATATCTACAGTTTATCATGCGTGTATATATTTTAACATGAATTGATATATCTAACCTGGCAGTGCAAATAGATGTTCTTAGGGAAAAGCAATCCCACAGATAGGCTGGCCTTGCACCATATTGATTTTTATCTATCAAAGATTGAATCCTCTTTCAAACATCCATTTTTTTCTGCTCAGCATAACCAATTTATATTTTCATGGAATATACTATGATTTTTTTTATATTGAAAATCAGAAATAATCTCTCTGTAGAAAAATGGCAAATTAAATTGTGGAATTATACATAAACATAAACAATAATTTTGTATTTGAAAATAAGTTTGATACAGAGTTTAATTCCATTCTTTAATTCTACAACTATTTGTAGATTATAACTGTACATGTGGGCCTTGACTGCATCCAAAGTTTGGATTTCTTTGAATATAAGCTTTATATTATATTATATTATATTATCCTAGTTATTTGATTCATTAAAAAGGAAAATATTTTTTGGATTACACAGGCTTCTTTGTTATATTTTTAATTTATGACACATTATAGTGGTAATTGATGCTAATTATTGCATATTGTTCAGATACAATAATGTTCTGAAGTCTGAAAAGAATGCAAGATAATTGATCAGCATCAATGTTAATGTTACTTTGAAATCTTTATTCAAAGTTATATTGTTCAAAACACTATTAAAATTTATTTTTCAATTCTTTTTTCTGTTTAATAATAATAATAATAATAAAGATGTTGGAAGGGACTTTGGAGGTCATCTAGTCCAACCCCCTGCTCAGGCAGGAAACCTTATACCATTTCAGACAAATGGCTGCCCAATCTCTTCTTAAAAACTTCCAGTGTTAGAGCATTCACAGCTTCTGGAGGCAGATTGTTCCACTGATTATTTGTTCTAACTGTCAGAAAAGTTCTCCTTAGTTCTAGGTTGCTTCTCTCTTTGGTTAGTTTCCATCTGTTGCTTCTTGTTTTGCCTTCAGGTGCTTTGGAGAATAGCTTGACTCCTCTTCTTTGAGGCAGCCCCTGAGATATTGGAATACTGCTATCATGACCCCCATCGTTTTTCTCTTCATTAAACTAGACATAACCAATTCCAGCAACCGTTCCTTGTATGTTTTAACCTCCAGTCCCCTAATCATCTTTGTTGCTCTTCTCTGTACTCTTTCTAGAGTCTCAACATCTTTTTTACATCGTAGTGACCAAAACTGGATGCAGTATTCGAAGTGTGGCCTTACCAAGGCATTGTAAAGTGGTATTAACACTTCATATTGAGGTGTCTTGTCTTCTGATGTAAGTATCGTGGTTTTTGCCACAACAATATGATCTTACTACAATAATGCTAAATAAAAAATAAATCTTTAACGTGTGAGCAATCTGAGCATTCTATATATCATTGTATAACATAGCCTTTTTTGCAACTAGTAGAAGTAAAAAAAAGTCATATGTCTTGCCATCTTATGACCATGTCTGATAAAAGGACTGCAATAACACAGCTGGAAAAAATCCAACCACAATCCCAGTGATGTAATATTGAATGTGGCAATTCAGCAAAATTTGGAAGCCCACCAGTTATCTATGACAGACCATTTGCTTTTGTAAGGTGCCTTGATCGCAGCAGAATAATGACAATAATAAAAGTATTGACAAGCAATTTCCATTTACTCCCCACTCTTCACACATGCATACGAGCTTGTGCACACACACACTCAGACAGAGGCACACACACTATATTCCTTTTCGCTTACTATTTTTGAAAAAGTGTCTTTTGCCTTCATTCACTTCATTCAGCTAACAGCAGCTTTTTCTTTTGATTTCACGATGTCATTTATATTCTTCTATCTATTTCCACACTAGAAGGTGGAGATAAGCTTAAGGTACTTGCATAAGCTACCTGAAAATTATGGTAGAGTATCTTTGTTCATGGTTGTCTTAAAGCTATTACGCCCACGGCAGAGCTCATTTTTCATGCACAGTATTGCAGAAGATTGTGATGGATCATAGAAAGCTAACATTCCTTCCTGCATATTCCAGCTTTATTTCTGGTCAGTTCTCTACACTGAGTAAAACAATATACTATAGGCCACCCAACCTAACACAGGAGATAGATGAACTTTTTGCTAGTCAGCTAACTAAGGTATGTAGGAAGCACATCACAATAGTAATGGGGGACTTTAAATACCCTGACATCAACTGGGAGACAAACTCTGCACCAAGTGGAAGATCATACAGATTCCTGACAAACCTAGCAGACAACTTTGTTTCCCAAAAAGGGGAGAAGGGAACTAGGGGAGTAGCCATTTTGGACCTAATTCTCACTAACAGAGATGAAATGATAGAAGGTGTTGAAGCCATAGGAACCTTGGGAGGAAGTGATCATGCAATATTGGAATTCAACATTATGGAAGCACAAGCAATAGAACAAAATCAAACTAGAGCCTTGGACTTCAAGAGAGCTAATTTCAATAAACTTAGAGAGGGTTTGGGAAGGATTCCATGGATGAGAATTCTCCAGGGGAAAACAAGTCAAGAGGCTTGGGAAATTTTGAAAAGTGAGATAATAAAGGCCCAGTCTAGCACAATACCAACAAAGAGGAAAAATAACAGCTCTCAAAAGAAACCAGCATGGCTGCATAAAGAACTTTCTGATCAATTGAAAGATAAAAAGGACAAGTATAGAAAGTGGAAAGAGGGACACGTAACTAAATCAGAATATCAGCAAATAGCCCGAACCTGCAAAGACGAAGTGAGGAAAGCTAAGGCTCAAAATTAACTAAGGCTTGCAACCAAAGTCAAAAATAACAAAAAAAAGCTTCTTTCAACATGTAAAAAACAAGAAAAAGTGAAGGAAACGATTGGTCCATTAATGGGTGAAAGTGGCAAGAAGGTGACAAGCAACAGGGAGAAAGCAGAACTATTTAACTCATTTTTCGCATTTGTGTTTACACAAAGAGAAAAAACAGACCAACCTATCAAAAATAGTGCCATAAAAAACAAAATAGAAATACAAGTTAAGATAGGCAAGAAAATGGTAAGTGAACACCTGTCCAGCCTAGATGAGTTCAAATCTCCAGGATCAGATGGATTACACCTCAAGATTCTTAAGAAACTGGCAGATGTGATCTCAGAACCACTGAACTATATTTTTCAAAGATCCTGGAGCACTGGGAAACTACCAGAGGACTGGAAAATTGCCGATGTAGTTCCCATCTTCAAAAAAGGGGGAAAAAAAGGACCCAGGAAATTACAGACCTATCAGCCTGACCTCAATACCTGGGAAGATCCTGGAAAAGATAATCAAACAACGAATCAGCAAACACCTACAGGCAAACAAAGTCATTACTAAAAGCCAACACGGGTTTGTCAAAAATAGATCATGCCAGACAATTTTTTTTAAACAAAATTTTATTAAATTTATATAGGTAAGGAAAAATAGGAAGAATACAGGTATGGTAAAGGGAAGGGTAAAAGGAAAGGGGGAGGGGAAGGAAATAAGAAATTAGGGTAAAATAAGGATAGGTACAATCACATATTTCAACAAACAAGCAACCACCCGGTTCATAATAATGAGTAAGTATCATATTCAACCATTTTTAACAAAGCTTAAACTGTAACATATTAAAAATAATTAGTAAACAAATATGTTGATCTATTAAGTAAACACTCCTAATAAAATCACCCCAAAAATAAATCCTAACAATCAAAAGTAACAAATGAAAATCAGTAAATCAGGAAAAGTAATCATATCATCAAAATGTTAGTTAGAACTCGATTAAAAATCAGTCATCTGTTTTAAAATATTAAATTCTTCAAGTTCTAACGTGTCTCTAACCATTGATAAATTTTTTCCCAAGTTTTAAAATAAATTGAATCATCTTTTTCTTTCATTTCTAATGTTAGTCTATCCATTTCTGCACACTCTAGAATTTTGGTAATAATAATCTGGTCAGATGGTAGATTCTCATTTTTCCAAAACTGGGCAAATACTATCCTTGCAGCAGTTAAAACATGCAATATCAAGTAGTCATTCTCTTTACCATAATTAGGTCTTAATATTCCTAACAAAAACAATTCTGGTTTAAATTCTATTTGTAGTTTCATCATCTTTTCCATCTATGAATTTTAGACCAATATTTCTTAGCGATAAGGCATGTCCACCAGGCATGGTAATAACTGCCTATGCCAGACAAATCTTATTGCATTCTTTGACCAAGTGACAAAATTAGTGGACCAGAGGTTAGACAGCATCACCACCAGATGGATCTGAAGCTGGCTGACCAGCCGTACTCAGCATGTGGTCCTCAATGGAACCGCATCTACATGGAGGGAAGTGTGTAGTGGGATGCCCCAGGGCTCTGTTCTGGTCCCAGTGATCTTCAACATCTTCATCAACGATCTGGACGAGAGGATAGATGGGGAACTCATCAAATTTGCAGATGACACCAAGCTGGCAGGAATAGCCAACATTCCAGAAGACAGGCTTAGGATATAGGAGGATCTGGACAGACTTGAACACTGGGCGCTGTCTAACAAAATGAAATTCAATTGTGAAAAAAGTAAGGTTCTACATTTAGGCAAGAAAAACCAAATGTACAGGTAAAGTATAGGGGGTACCTTGTTCAATAGTAGTAACTGTGAGAGGGATCTCGGAGTCCTAGTGGACAATCATTTAAATTTGAGCCAGCAGTGTGCTGCAGCTGCCAAAAAGGCCAACACAGTGCTGGGCTGCTTTAACAGAGGCATAGAATCAAGATCACATGAAGTGTTAATACCACTTTACAACGCCTTGGTAAGGCCATACTTGGAATACTGCATCCAGTTTTGGTCACCACGATGTAAAAAAGATGTTGAGACTCTAGAAAGAGTACAGAGAAAAGCAACAAAGATGATTAGGGGACTGGAGGCTAAAACATATAAGGAACAGTTGCTGGAATTGGGTATGTCTAGTTTAACGAAGAGAAGGACGAGGGGGGGACATGATAGCAGTGTTCCAATATCTCAGGGACTGCCACAAAGAAGAGGGAGTTGAGCTATTTTCAAAAGTGCCTGAAGGCAGAAGCAATGTGTGGAAACTAACTAAAGAGAGAAGCAACCTAGAACTAAGGAGAAACTTCCTGACAGTTAGAACAATTAACCAGTGGAACAACCTGCCTCCAGAAGTGGTGAATGCACCAACACTGGAAGTTTTTAAGAAGAAACTGGACAGCCATTTGTCCGAAATGGTATAGGGTTTCCTGCCTAAGCAGGGGGTTGGACTAAATGACCTCCAAAGTCCCTTCCAACTTTATTATTATTATTATTATTATTATTATTATTATTATTATTATTATTATTATTATTATTATTATTATTATGGATCATCGCACAGTCAGCCAGATGTTCAGACTGGATTTGGCATTTTGTCTACCTATCGAGTCCTGACCCAGGACCTGGGATAGGCAGATGTGGATGTTTGATGGTATTACAGATATCATCGCAGGATGGAAGCAGTTCCTAATAAGGCCGCCTTTTGCAATTGACTAATAGCGAATTTGTCAATGCCAATGGTGTTCAAGTGTGCTCCAGTTGTTTTGGGATTGCACCTAAGGAGCCTATTACTATTGGTACTACCCTTGCTTGCTTTTGCCACAGTCTTTCTATTTCTATTTGTAGGTCTTTGTATTTTGTTATCTTCTCCAATTCTTTCTCGTCTATTCTGCTGTCTCCAGGCACTGCCACGTCCACTATCCAGACTTTTTGTCTTTCTTATCGACAATTGTTAAGTCTGGGGTGTTATGTTGCAGGTGCTTGTCTGTTTGAATTATTATTATTATTATTATTATTATTATTATTATTATTATTATTATTATTATTATTATTATTATTATATTTCTTTACTCCACGCTCTGTTAATTATTTTATGTAAGTCTTTTTTTGCCAGGGCTAGAATTAATATAAGATGATTTTAATTGAAGATTGTACCGCATGTCAATACAGATTATTTCTTCTTATCTCATCTTTATTGTTGGTCAACTCAGGGTGGCTTATATACTTAATACTCCTGCATCCTCTTTTCATCACAATATCAAACTTAGGCCTTTATGATGTGGGTGAACCCATTTCTTGGGATTGTTAGGTTATCCACTTAGCCTCACAATTGTCCCAGCGTTACTCAGGAATTTAAAAGAGCCAAAAGACACTCCTGAGCCGAGGTTTCAGCAAAGGATTACAGCTTTATTTTGATCAAAACAGAGAGGAGTTTCCCAATTCCTCTTCATGGCTGGTAAAGGAATAAAAGCAACAACCAGGAAAGATGTCTTCCACCTTTTATACCTTTCCAGAACAAAAAGATCAGGTCTTTGTACCAGGCATAAGATAGCACCAAAAAACAATTCCAGGATGATGACTCATACACAACAACCCAGGCTCCATCCATAACTCCATTTCCCCCTCCTCTTACCGTGCTCTTTTCATTGAAGCAATCCCCTGTATATTTAACATGAGACTTTTACTGTTCCAATATATATAAAGCATCTGCTCAGGCAATTGGCTACAAAATAATGATTACAAAATAACAAAACAATGATTTCATGATAACACTACAAGTATCAATATAAAATGGTTACTATATATAAAGTAGCTGCTAATGTCAAATATCCTTCAGGATATTCATCTGGTTGATTGTTAAAGTTGTTATAGGTTAGTTACTTGATTGCTATTTATGTTATTTATACTTTTTTATTGTTTCTATTCTGTATTTAATTGTTAGCTGCACAGAGTCATGTAAAAAATTAAAAAATAATAAAATAAAAATAAATAAATAAATAAATAAAATAAAATATTGCTTTCTTGTCTAAGAGACAGTTCTAAATCCCAGTTATTAACCCAGCACAGCAATTTGGCTAATACAACCATTTGTTTAGTGACCATTCAAACTTACAATGGCACTGAAAAAAAAGTGACTTAAGTTATGACCATTTTTCACACTTAATCCTGTTGCAGCACTCCCACATGATCAAAATTTGAGCACTTGGCAAATGGCATGTATTTATGACAATTGCACTGTCCCAAGGTCATGCGATTACCATTTATATGCTTCCTAACTAGCTTTTGACGACATCAAAGGGGAAGCAAGATTTGCTTAACGACTGCATGAGTCACTTAACAACTGCAGTGACTCCTTAACAGCTGTTGCAAAAAAGCCTTAAAATGGGACAAAACTCTGCCTTGCTTAGCAATGGAAATGTTGGGTCAACTGTAGTCAAAAGTTGAGGACGAGCTATACTTCTTAGTTGCAGTCATGGATAAACTCTGTATCAACTTGCAAGGCACCCTATGGATCAGTGATTTGAATTTGCCTAAAATTACATAAGCTGCCTGGGTAGAAGTGGACTTTGATTGTACTTATAGGATTCTGCTCAAAATCGTCAATGGTGACTGTACTGTCTTTGCTAATGGATGGCAAGCAGGCGGCTGGATTTGAAGACTTCCAATCATATTATTCTATGTTCTATATATTGGCGGGGAACCCAAAAGATTTTTGGCAAATGCTGAATAGATTGCATTGTGAAGTATGGAGTAGGGTTCTGCAAATTGATGTAGTTGTTTTTGATGAAAAAATCTGAATATATGATTTTATATAATAAAGGTAAATTGCAGTTGATTTCAAATGAAAGAAGATCACGTTGATCATCCAAATATTTTACCTCAATATTGTTCATATATGGATCATCCTTGACTTATAACCACAACTGAGCCTAAAATTTTTGTTGCTAAGCAAGACAGTGGTTAAGTGAAATTTCCCCATGTTATGACCTTTTTTTGACACCATTGTTAAGTGAATCACTGCGGTTGTTAAGTTAGTCACATGGTTGTTAAGTGAATCTGGCTTCTCTAGATTCTTGTCTTTGCTTGACTTTGCTTTTCGGAAGGTCACAAAAGGGGATTACAGGCCCGGACATTGCAATTATCATAAATATGAGTCAATTATCAAGCATCTGAATTTTGATCATATGACCACAGGGATGCTGCAATGGTCATAAATGTGAAAAGCAGTCATAAGTCACTTTTTCCAGTGGATTAATTAATTCCATTAATTTCACTGATAATATTCTTGGCCATAAGAACCTTTGCAAGGACCTCCATTTCATTAATAAGGTGAAACCATATATAGAAGATTTCTGAGCTTCTATACTTCCTCAGTGAACAATGAAGAAGAAGATTTTATGTGGCTAAAATAAGCCATTGCTTTGGCTTATGACTTTGGCCAATAATTCAGAATACTAGTATACACTTATGACAAGGGAAAGCATTTCCTGCCTATCAATATGAAGAATATGGGTGCTCTCTAGTGGTGATGGTTGGGCAGGAGACTGTCTTTCTCCAAGCATATGGTTCAAATAATTGTTATTGCTTTTCTTACCACTAGAAATGAAAACTGAGAATCTGAAATTTATGAATGAAAAATATATGAATGAAAAGAAACATATGAATTCATATGAAACATATGAATAGAGGAATAGAGGAGCATAAGATGTTTCTTGTAATGAATTTTCCCTTTTCTTTGAAAGAGTCCCAGTGTCAGATCATTCATGCTATAATTGTTAGAATGCAAGTAGGGACCATAACTGCTAGAACAACCAAACTAGAGATTAGAGTAAACTGGCCAGCATCACTCATGTTTTTACCCTAGCTACAGTTAAAACAATAAATAATGAAACAGGACCTTACAGACAATGCCTTTAGAATATGTATGGAATATTTATTTAGCAGGTATGGATAGCCATTTACTAAGAGATATAGACTGAGGTCAGTAGAAAGAATGATACATGAAAATTCATTAACTAATAAAACAATCAATGCAATCTGTAAAACAATTCAGACTTTTATTTTATTTTTCACTTATATTACATTTAAATTCATAATACAATAAGCTGATACTGTTGTTAAACAATAAAATTACCAATCATGTAAGTAAAGAATAATTCGGTTCTCAGTAACTCTTCCTTTTCTTATCATTTAGGATATTTACCTGGAAATGTATAATATTTTTGCTTAGTATGTGTTGGGAAACTGCCAACTAGGCTGGAAGGAGAAGTCAAGCAGGGATCCAGCTTGGAGTTATTGAGCAGCTGCAGGCGACATAAGCGCGATTCCCCCCAAGTTCCATGAAGCCTTATCCGATCATTCCCAGGGAAGGCAAGCAATCTGGGGAGATTATTGTAACATATATAAAAGACAATAAAATTGTTTATCTTAGCTATTTACAAGTGGCTCTTATTTCTTGTTTCTCACAGTATATTGATAAAATGGTATATGAAGAACACTTCGGGAGATTAAGCAAAGAAACTTGCCAAGGGAAAAGTAACATAAGAGATAATGTAACCCACCACCAGTGGGCAGGGCAACAGGTATAGAAAAGACCGTCCCTGGTTGTAAGATGGGCTCAGGGAGAATTGTACTATATTGTACTGTACAATTGTACTGTAGTTTCAGACATAAGATTCTGTTAATGTAGCTTTACAATGTAGTAAAATTCACTCATCTGGTCAAGTTTCTTGTTTAGTCTACCTCATAAGCCTGATAATTGAAAACTGATAAATTTTGCTTATACCTAAGCTGCAATGTCTTTTTTTGGTAACAATTGCTTATAGCTTTGTTACTACTGATGCACTTGTCTTTATTCTCCACATCTGAAATTGCTTTTAAAAAATCATCATTTTGAATAGCTATCATCTTTGCTCTGGTACGGTCACCTCAAACAACCCCTTTATAAATGTTCTCTCTGTATAAGAGATCATCACACTAGATTCTGTTTTATTTAAATAGTCTAGAAAAAATGTCAGTCCCTCTTTATTTTATTTAAAATTTTTGGTATTATGAAACAATAATATATTAAACCTTCAGCAAGAAGGGCACTGAATAGTCCCACTGAAGTTCAGCATTGGTGTATGGTCTAACAAGAAACTTTGAAAAATTAAAAGAACATAATAATTTACAAAAATGCAAAAAAAAGATTTTAAGAAAATTTTAAATGCCTTGGGCGACTAGAGAGATTTAAAATATTCATTATTTTAGGTGTAAGCTTTGAAAAACAGGTATCTAGTTAAATAATATACTCATGGGAAATTACAGAAATGGAACTAAACCCATATGAAGAACTAAGGCTTGATAAAGCTACAAATAGACACTAGAGGGAACTAAAGAACCAGGCTGAAAACAATTATAATAACTAAGTTCCCTATAACTTTTTCTTAAAGAGTTTTTTGAAACATGGACTGAACTATTAATAATTAATATCCCAGAAAGGATTCCATTTCAATGGTTAAACTTTTCAAAGATGATAAGAAAAAGTTTTTAAAACTTTAAACAGACATAGATATTTTCAACAGTTTGGAGGCATGGAAGATAAGAAAATTTAGATTACCAAAATGGGAATACAAAAAGCAAATCAACATGGAAAACTGTGATAAGAAATTCTAGATAATGCCTCTTGATGGGATTTAGAAATTAGGCTCGTGAAAACTTTGAAGATTCCTTTTAATTACCAAAGAGTGATGAAAGATCAATCCCTGCAATGCCATATGAATTATTTTTTTCAAATGGCATTATTAAAAACTTCAGTATAATTATAAATAAAAACTGATTTATCACCCCTCATTGTCTGCTGTGCACACAGCTGCTGTCTCAAGAGTCAAAACGATAGTAGGAAATTATTTTGCACTTTACAAAGATTAACATAATTCACCTTTAACAAGATGAGAAGAGAGGAAATGAGAGGAGAGGAGGAGAGAAGATAAGAGAGAAGAAAAGGAGAAGAGGAGAAGAGAGGAGAGAGAAGAGAAGAGAAGAGAAGAGAAGAGAAGAGAAGAGAAGAGAAGAGAAGAGAAGAGAAGATTTATTGTCACTTTTTTATGTGAACATACTGGCACACATTAAAAAATGAAATTCTGGTTAGTACTGCTTTATCTCTTTTAAAAGTTGTGTTTTCTTTCTTGATATGATATTAACTGGAGGTACTTTTAATGTGTGTAAAATCTAAAGCATTTGCCTCTATGTTGTTCCTAATGCAGTTCATGACTCCTAGGGGGGGCAATGAAAATTGTTTCAAGCTGTGGCCATAATACAGAGAATTCTTCTCAGGTTCTGGGCCTCACCTGTGCTGTCCAGAATCACAGAAATGGTGAAGGAGATGCCATCCCATTTCACTAGGTAGCCAACTATTGTCAATTCCACTAGGTAGACAGACCAGGAAATCAACTTTATGGGAAGATTAACGTTACCTTTATTGAGATTGGCTATAGCTACAGAATTTTGTAAATCTAATTGTGCTTTCTCCTCTTCTTATATTTTGATGAATTAGGAAGGCATCTGCCCAACCTACCTCTCAACATTATCTTGGAATTGTGGAATATAATAACAGCTGGAATAGTTGGGACTGGACCCAAGTTGAATTACAAGCCCTGGACTGGAAGATCAAGAAAAGCAATAATCACACAGATACAATACAAACAATGGCATGACAAAGTAGTAATAATGTTGCATTGAAATACAAGAAATATCATTTTACCTGCAAGCAAGAACTGGTGGGAACCATAAAATAGACACAGTAATAGAAAATTAAGAAGATAAAAAGGTCTGGGACTTTAGAATTCAAACAGACAGGCATCTGCCACATAACACCCCAAACTTAACAATTGTCAATAAGACTAAAAAGTCTGAAGTACTAAAAGCCCAAATAAAAGCAATATTACAGAGAAAGAACAAGATGAAACCAGTATGGTTGAACAAAGAGCTGTCCAGCAAACTGAGGGACAAAAAGGACAATAAAAATGGAAAGAGAGACATATAACTAGAATAGAATACTAGTAAATAGCTCCAATTGTCAAGGGTGGAGTCAGGAAAACCAAGGTTCAGAATGAACTAAGACTTGCAATAAATGGCAAAAATAGCCAAAAAAAGTTTATTTCAATATGTAAGAAGCAAGATGAAAGTCAGGTAAATAGTCAGTCCACTAATGGGAGAAGATGGCAAGAAGGTGACAGGCAGCAAAGAGAAAGCAGAACTGCTCAATTCCTTCTTTGCATCTATATTCATGCAAAAGGCAATAATAGTGCAATTTATTAAAAGCAGCATTGTGGGAAATAGAGTAGAAATGCAGATCAAGATAAACACCTATCTGCTTTGGATGATTTTGAATCTCCTGAACCAGATGATTTACTTTCCAGGATTCTGAAGGAACCGGCAGGTGTGATCTCAGAACCCAATCTTTCAGAGCTCCTGGAGCATGTGGGACCTATCAGAGAACTGAAAAAAAGCTGATGTGTTTCCAATTTTATAAAGAGGTTAAAAGAAGATCCAGGAAACTACATTCTGCTCAGCTTGATAGCAATACCAGAGAAAAAAAATAGAAAAGATAATCAAGCAGTGGATTTTTCAGCACCTACAAATAAACAAGCCAGGATGTGTTTAACAAAAACAGATCGTGCCAAACAAATCTTATTGCCTTCTTTGACAAAGTGACTAAATTAGTGGACTAAGGAAATCCAGTGGATATAGTAACTTAGGCTTCAGTAAAGCATTTAATAAAGTAGACCACAGTCTAGCTCTTGATAAGATAGAAAAATATAGGATAGACAATACCACCACCAGATAGATTTGCAGTTGGCCGATCAATCACACTCAGCATATAGTCCTCAGTGTGATTACATCTACATGGAGCAAAGAATGAAATGGGGTAACTTACTTGACTCCAGTGGTTTTCAACATCGTCATAAATGAGGGGATTGAAGGGGTACTTGTCAAATTTGCAAATGACACAAAGCTGAGGGGAGTTGCTAATACTTTGCAAGATAGATTAAAGATTCAGAAAGATCCTGACACTCTTGAGCATTGGGCCATACCCAATAAGATGTGGTTCAATCATTAGAAAAGTAGGTCCTGCTTTCAGGCAGGAAAAACCAGATGCACAGGAACAGGCTTGGCTCAATAGTAAGGCCTGTGAGAGGGATCTAGGTATCTGTTAAACCACCACATAAGTATGAGTTAGCAGTATACTGCAGCTACTCAAAAAACAAAACAAAACAGGAAGAACATCAAGATTGTAGGAAGTGATACTTCACTAGTAAGGCCACATTTGAAATACCATGTCCAGTTCTGGTCACCATGATACAAAAAAGATGCTGAGGCCCTAAAACAGGGCTTTTCAACTGGTGATATGCACACCACCAGTGGTACGCGAGCACCTGGCTGGTGGTACGCATAAGACAGGTTGAAAAAAAAATGTAAAAAAAATGTAAAAGTGGATGAGGTGAAATGGCAGCAGCTGTGCACAGGCTTGTGGCAAAGTCAGCTGGAACTGCATGTTGCCTGGGTCCTACTGAGAGCCCAGGATCAAAGCGCGCAGCTCCAGTTGATTGACGGCGGCCTTGGGGGTAGCAGGCAGCCTCAAGCAATCTTCAGTGGAGATTCCACTGGAGCTGTGTGATGCATTGCCTGGGTTCCCCCCACCCCCACCCAGATGCCCTCACCTCTCCCAAGTGTTTTTTTACTCATCTGCTTGCAGCAGCATTCCCTTTCACCTGTCCTTCTCAGCCTTCATGTGTTTCTGAGACAAAAAAAAAATGTTCCATGAGACTTTCTAACTTTTTGTGAGAAGTTAGAAAGTCTCATGGAACTTTTTTTTTCTTTTTTACCAAACACAAACATATGGCGAAGGCAGAAAAGCAAGCGAAGGCAGAGAAGCAAAAGGAGAAAGGGAGTGCAGCTGAAAGCAGGTGAGTAAAAAAATGCTTGGGGGAGGTGAGGGCATCTGGGCTGGGGCAAGGGCGCCAACCTTATCCTGCATCATGGTGAGAGGGTTAATGGGCGCGGGGGGCCAGGAGGAGCTGCGCAAAGCAGACAGAGGGGAGGTCGGGCAGATTGTGGGTGGTGGCAAGCGGGCAAGATGGGCAGGGGCGCAAATCGGCATGTGCTCAGAAATGCCGATCTTATGCTCCTGCTCATCTCACTTGCTTGCAGAAAGCTTGGGAGGGGGGAATAAGAATGAGCAAGCTGAGCAGGGCTGGATTGGCAGCTGCACATCGTCACTCAGACCACCATTAGAGGGTGTGAGGCAGCCCGGCAAGGCCCTGCCCGCACTTCCCACTGCTCTCATGGCTGCCCTCTGGTCACTGGGCTCAACTCTCATCTGGAGAGCAAGGCCCATT